TTATAAAGTTATATTTTTTAACTTTTAACATATTATACTTAATTTATTAGTTTTAATATATTGTTGGATGTAATGATTATCATTTTAAAGATACAATTTTGGAACAATTTGTATAAAATACTTAAATTATTAATTTGAATATAACATTACATGGTCAACTTAAATATAAATTTTAGTTAAACTTAAACAATTCAAAGAATATTTTGTAAATAGTTAAAAGTGATTAATTATAGTGTCTTTCTAATAATGATTATAAGTTGGTTAATAAGGTTAAACAAATATCAAACCTAATTGTAATCATAAATATACTAAATTTCAATTTTAAAATAATATCTTACTTCTACTTATAAAGTTATGTCTTTAACTTTTAACATATTATACCTAATTTATTAGATTTAAAATGTTGTTGTATGTAAACCATTATCAGTTTAAAGATACAACTTTTGAACAGTTTGAACAAAATACTTAAATTGTTAATTTAAATATAACATTACAGTGTCAACTTAAATATAAATTTCCGTTCCACTTAAAAAACCAAAGAATAATTTGTTAAATAGTTAAAAATGATAAATTGTAGTGATAAATGCAAAAACTAAATTGTAATCTCAATTTAACTAAAATATTTCCTAAGGATATTTTTATAATCGTTAAAGGTTTTCAAATAAGTAGCTTAAAATAACTTACAATAACAATAGTTTAAAATAACTCTATATAAATAATTATATTGTTACATTTAAAATAAAAAAAAACATTGTTTGATGTTTTAAATAATTATAATGATAGAAATTAAAACATTAAACAAAATAAATTTTAAAAAATCAATTAACAATAACAACAACAACAACTATAAATAACATTAAACCCTATATTATATTTAATTTTATTCATGTGTAACCCGCGGGTAGAAGTCATTCAAACGATTGAGATTATGCGGTTATAATAGATGTATATATTATCATATAATTCAAAATAATCAATATATTATATCAATTTAGTATACAAATTATTATATATCAAATTTAACAACAACATTATTGGTATATTTAAAAAAACATATATTTGTAAACACTTCAACTATATATGTGTTTCTGTGCAACGCGCGGACATTCGTCTAGTTATTGTATGTATTATCTTAATCTTGAAAACTATAGCATTTAGATTGAATATAGATAGGTAAAAGAAATGGTACCACCATGTGAAAAAAATAATTTTTTTAAATGGTGTTGGTGTTTAGAAAATTAGTTAATTGTTTAATATTTAAATTAATCGTTAAGGACAAATATGTTGATAAAATACCAACTAATGCTTATATATCGTCGATTTATTTTGTGTTATTTGGAAAACAACATTTTTGCCAAAGAAAACTAATCGTTGAAATGAAAGTATTCACCGAAAAAAACTATTTGATGCCTACCGAAAGGAAAATAATCAGCAAAACAAAAGTATTACCCACCCCCAAATTCGCCTCATTAGTATCGCACAGGTACCACATTAGAATTTTGAAATATATTATCATGAATTAGAATGAAAAAATTTCGACATAATGGATCCAATATATGAAAACACATTGCAAAATACACAAAAGAGACGAACACATTAAAGAAAACATTGTCCGTTGAAAAGAAAAACGAATCGTTGAATTGAAACTAATGCTTAGTAATACTTGCCAATACACCGTGTCTTAGTTTTAAGATGTCATTTTCCTAAAACAAATTAATTGCTGAACTGAAACTAATCATTTTTTTTTCTGAAAAAAAACTAACTGTCGTAAAAAGTATTCGTACCCGTCGCTTAGCGCGGGTAAACGGCTAGTATATATATATATATATATATATATATATATATATATATATATATATTAGTTTGAAACTTTTCTTGATATAAATTATTGTGTGCATCTATTCATGAGACATATTTTTACAAATTTTTTTTTTCGAGTTAGGGACAAACTAACTTGTTTTGAAATGAGATTTGTGTTTACTTTTGATTTATTTTTAATTTGGATTTTGTGTAGTGTTTATTTTTTTTAATAATCATTCAAGAAACTAGTTCAATTATTTTATAAAAAAATATATTAAAGTCAGCAAAAAATAATATAAATAGATAAAATAGTCATGTTCTTTATTCATCACAATAATTTATAGTTTCCAACCATACACCATGTTAAAAATTCAAAATCTTATAAATTTAGGTTTTACGAAAGAGTCCATTATCGTCATTCCAATGGACAAAGACGTTGGAAAAGTTTATTCTTAATTTTATAAAGTGCAGAAATAAGTATTGAATATTCATGAATACTTTAACTTATTTTATACTTCCTTCAAATATATTTGGAGCTGATTTTCTTTTCAAAGGATGTTGTAAATTGTGTCTTGTTGAATATTTTATTTGTGAATGGTTTTTTAATGGTGTAGTTGTAATTTGTAATTTTGAATAAGTTGGTTTTCTTTTTTGTGTTTAACAGGTACTCGTGAATCGTACCGCGATTACCCGCTTCCTAATGGTTCGGTTCAAATAGTTGGTCGGTCAAGTGAGGACATCTTTCTGTGTTCACGGTTCACAATTTTATTGCTACCTGAACCGAATCACCCATTAACACCCATACCTCCTAAAAACCAACACCTTCGCTCCGACAAGAAAACATCTCAAGGCAAGTCTCCAAGTAGTCTTCTCATATCTGGTAACTGATACTTACATTCCAACAAGAAACGTCTCGAGTTTCGTACGTACATAAACATGAGGTCATCTATGTGAAGTAATCACTTATCTTTGTGGATGTATGAATGCCAATATCTACCCCTATCCTGTTACAATCGAATTTCAAGGGTCAATTGCTCTTAATGTTGCTTGATTTTTGTTTTATTGTACTTATTCCAATTGCTAGAATAATGTGTACTAAAGCATAAGATTTGACATCCAATAATAATCGGTTCCACATTAGCAAAAATATGATAAATTTGAATACATCCCTACCTCTAATATATTTCTATGTTTATTGCATGTTCATATAAATATTCTTTTGCCGCCTTCAACTATGTTGCTTTTCCAAATATAATGTACTGTTTGGTATGTATGTCGTATGAACACCCCCTCCATATATGTAATATGTATTTGCAACATTTATAATATGCTTTCTTATTTACTACACCCTCAAATAACATCGTCGCAAGAAACCAGATGCCGTAAGAAAGAAAAGAGAAACACAGCGCCAAAGACACACCTAATTCCAGCTAGTTTGAATACATTCTACTAACAAATTTTGCTAATTTTTTGTGAAGTAGGGTTTATTTGGCTAGCCTATGGTTTTGCCGACTGCCACTCTTACTTGCATTTTCACAATTTTATGTAATGCTAAATATGACGGTTTAAAAGATAATAAAATATTGTGAAGGGAGTTTAATGTAATTCTTACAAAGATAAAGCAAAAAATGTAAAGTAGGAAAATAAATCCTCATTATTAGATATTACGAAGAAGTGTTTGGCAAAACCTAAAAAATAAATGAACATTTTAATTTATTACCCATTCCATACAGATATAAATTAAAATAAATATTTGGATAAAGACTTTTAAAAAAAAAAAACTTATGGCTGTTTGGATATCTAATAAATAATTTTTAATAAATCACTTATACCTATTTTATCAAAAATTCCTTATTTCATGGTTTAGGAAAATTGACCAATATACCCTTACCCGATATACCCTTAACCTAAACCTTATACATCGACACAAACATAACGCCTCCAATCCATCGCTGCTTCTGCCACTCCTCAAGCGCATCCCTGCTCGCCGCCGTTAGCCATCTCCTCGCCGGAGACCGTCGCAGCCCATAGCAACACCGGAGCTGTCGATTTTCCTTCGACCCCACAGCTAAGGTTCGTGTTTTTTCTTTTCTCTGTCTTTTTTCATTCGTGTTTGTGCTGCTGTCGATTTTTCCAGCGCCGAGTTCTTGAACAATTCACTGTTAATTGCAGCTAAACTGCGTTTTCAGATGGATATCGATGGAGATGTTGAAGATGTTTCAAGAAGAGTACAGGTGCGATTCGTTACGAAGCTTAAACCGCCGTTCAAAGCTCCGACAACGACCATTGCCCTCCCTTCTACCCTCACAAGGAAGGGTCTTTCGTCCGTGGTTAATAGCCTTCTTCAATCAGGTTATTCGTCTTTACACTACGTTTCTGCTTAACCTGATTTTGCCACCAATAAAAACATATGTTCTGCTCGTGTAAAAACAGCATGAACTTCGGTAATAGTTCTATGAAATTATCTGCAATTCGAAGATCAATGATTCAATGCTATAAGTTGTTCACCAATTAGTTTTTACACTTTTAAGTGGCTTTCATGTCATCTAACCTTAACTTTTGTTTAGGAAACGATGATTGGAAACATGAACCATTTGATTTCCTCATTGATGGTGAGCTAGTGAGGATGTCACTTGAAGACTTTCTTCTTGCCAAAGGAATCTCAGCGGTATCCTTATTTTTCTTCCCTAAAATTCATAGCGATTAATCACACATTCATCATCTAAACAATTCAAAAGCTTGTAATCTGAGAAAGATACATTGATAAAACAAAACAAGAAGATATACATTTAAGCGATGTAAACTTCTCAACCTATCTTCACATCATGATTCCTGACTACAACTTCTGTTCAACAACAGGAAAAAACCCTAGAAATTGAATACATAAAAGCTGTAGCTCCACGCAAGGAAGAAGATCCTTCATTACACGATGATTGGGTCAGTGCAGTTGATGGCTCAAATCAGTAAGCCCTAGACTTTCATCCTTATATCTAATTATCTATCCCTCTTTTTCTTCAAATTCACCTTTCTTCTTCTTCTTCTTCTTCTTCTGCTGCTGCTGCTGTCAACTCGACATACAATTTCTTGAAACTGAGTAAATTTCTTTCTTTCCGCAAGGTTCATTGTGACAGGTTGCTACGATGGATTAGGAAGGTAATTGACTAATTTCTTAAATCTTCCCACATCTTCAAATCTTCAATACCCTTTTTTTTCTTCATGAAATAACCAAAAGATATGTTTCTCTTTAAATATATAAATTCAGGATATGGAAAGGTCCAGGACTTTGTACACATGTTTTGGAAGGTCATAATGGTGCAATTACATCAGTTAATGTTGTGAAATCAAAAGGTATGAATTATGAAACTCTACACTTGTTTCACAATTCACAAACTAAATCTTCATTTTTCTTTTAAAATAAAAAGTATGTTATTTATTTTCTCATTATTTCTCACTAAATCTTCAGATAATGAAAATGACACCAATATGGTTGTTGCAACTGGATCAAAAGACAGAACTGTGAAACTCTGGAAGGTAATTTTTAATTTTCACAAATATATTTGATTTCACAAATCAACAACTAAAAAATTTTAAAAAAAATCTTTTTCACCTTGAAGTTTGATCCAGAGCCTCTATCAGAAAACCTAAAGATTAGTTCTTTCAGAACTCTTGTTGGGCATACTGCTTCAGTTCAAAGCCTTGCATCACAGCCTAATGGCAATTTGGTAATTTTTTCTTTTTCTCAATAATCTTTAATGTTTTACATTTTTGCCACTATCTCACCTCTCTCCACCATTACAGATATGTTCAGGTTCTTGGGATTGCAGAATCAATGTGTGGCAAACAGAGTCTAATGAAGCAGATATTGTATCAGTAAAGAAAAGGAAAAAAGGGAACAAGGAAGAAGAATCTCAATCAGAGGTATATTTTTATATTTTATATTTTTATATAAATATATTGATAATATGGTTAAAAAATAAAATAAATATTGTAGGGGGAGGCTGTATCTACACTTGTGGGCCATACTCAATGTGTATCTTCGGTTGTTTGGCCTGAATATGGAACAATTTATTCAGCATCATGGGATCACTCTATTAGAAGATGGGATATTGAAACAGGAAAAGATACAATAAACATGGTATTATATATTATATATTAATATTATTATTATCACTGTTATTATATACGGTTAATCTCAAAAAAACACCTTATAGTATTTTGTATTTTTTCTATTTTCTGAAAAAACCATTAACTTTGTATTTTTTTTTTCTGAAAAAAACCTTCAACCTTCTAAATGTTTCCAAATAAACCCTCAACTTTTTTAGTTTTTCTCGAAAAACCCTCGCGTTTAATCATTTTTTGGCAAAAACTGACGAAAAGGGCCAGATTGGAAATAATGAAAAAAATACAAGGTCTTTTTCAAGAAAAAAATAAATTTAAGGTTTAATCCAGAAAAAACATGTTTTTTTGCGATTAACCCTTTAAATTAAAAACATTATTTACTTGGTTTTTTTGGGTTAATATCATAAAAAACCTTATATATCAGAAATTCTCAAGTCCTCAAATTTTTTCTTTGGGGCAATTTTTCATTTTTTCCAAAAAAACCCTCAACTTTTTTTTTTCCTAAAACACTCTCAACCTTTTAATTTTTTCCAAAATAAAACCCGCAACTTTTTATTCTTTTCCCGAAAAAAGCCTCACATTCGACAAGTTTCTTCATAAAAAGACCTTGCATTTTTTCATTTTTTCCAAAAAAAGCCCTCAACTTTTTATTTTTTTCCTTAAAAACCCTAAACATTTTTATTTTTCCCCCCAAAAAACCCTCACATTTAACAAGTTTTTTTGGAAAAAAAAAAACTAAAAGAGCCAAATCGAAAGAAATGGAAAAATTGGTCTTTTTCAGGAAAAAGAATAAAGCTGTACAAGGTTTTTTATTTTTATTTTTAATGATATTAACCTTTTTATATTCGAATAAAAGCATAGAAACATAATAAAAGAATATATATTTTTATATATAAAATATAGTTTTGTGGGAAAGTGGTGAATTGCATTGACATCGGAGGCGAAAGTTCTGCTCTTATTGCTGGTGGATGTTCCGATCCTACCCTCAGGATTTGGGATCCTCGCAAACCAGGTACACACACACAGTAAAAACACCCTAACTTTACACACAGTAAACCCTAGTTTTTTTTTTTTTTAATAATAAATAATTTTATTTTCAGGAACTTTGGCTCCTAGCTTCCAGTTTTCATCACATACTTCTTGGATAACTGCTTGCAAGTGGCATAAAACTTCATGGTTTCATTTGCTTTCTTCATCTTACGATGGGAAAGTTATGTTATGGGACTTGAGAACTGCGGTATTTATTTATTTTATTTTTTTTTTGCAAAAAAAAAATGGTTTGACATAAATAAAAAAATTTAATATGCGTAAATATTTGATCTTTTTGTATTTGTTGCAGTGGCCATTGGCTATAATTGATTCACATGAGGATAAGGTATTTAATTTTTTGTACTAGCTTACACATTTTTAAAAAAAAAATTATATCCAATAAATCGTATATAACATTAATCTTTTTATATAAAAAAAAAATCAATAGGTACTTTGTGCTGATTGGTGGAATGGAGATAGTGTTGTAAGTGGAGGAGCTGACTCAAAGCTTAGAATTTCTTCTGAAATTGCTATCCCATAGTTATTAAGGTAAAATCAATACCATCTTTTAATTTTTACATTAAATTTATATGAAACATTGTCATTTTAGGACCAAAAGATGTATAATTTGTGTCGGATGTTTAAATTTGTATAAAGTGAAATATTGTTTGCATAAATTTATCAAAAAAAAAAAAAAGGTAACATATTGTGTATTTGAATTACAGTGTCTTTACCTTAAAATCGAAGAGATGAAATGGAGGTGCGATTGAAAATGCTCGACACTTTTTAAACCGAAGATGATGGTGTTTTACTACACTTGAGAATATTTTGGATAATTTTTGATTTTTTTTTTATTTCAAGAATTGAGAATTTTGTATTAAAATGTTGAAAGCTAGTTTGTGTCAACTATGATGGTTTTGTGGAGCTCCTTTTTTTTTTTTTTTACCAAACATATGATATTTTAATTAAAATATGGGAGACAATTATTTCTGAATGAAGGTAACACTTACAAAATATGTTGAAAGAAAAAAGTTAAATCACAATTTTTTTTAGGTCTGGTCAAAATGTTTCAGTACCGGGTAACTTAAATGACAAGAAAAGATTTAAATCACATACTATAATTAGCATTTTTCGTCTTTTTAGAAACCATCAATTACAACTTTATTTGTAAAATTTCAGTCTTCTTTTAAAGCGATGTAATAAATGAATATAAGATGAATGAAATTAATACTTAAAAAAAATAAAAAAAACTAGATTAAAAAAATTAAACAAGAGTATTTAAAGAAAATTATTTGGGACTTGGGAGTAGACAAAATTAGAAATTTTGGTTGATATATCATATGATATATACAAATATACAATCGGTAACAGAAAGAGAGAAAAAAAGCGGGCTTTATATTTCTTCAACTTTAGCCCAACAGGCCAAAAGCATCGATGGCATGATATATTAAAAAAAAAAAATACTCCAAATCCGATTGTAATATATATAAAAAAATTAAGCCGTTGGGGCACTTGCCCCCACTCTTCTACTTGTATTAGGTCTTATATTAATCTCACAATTCTTGACACGACGATAAATAAATGGGTTTGGGTTGAGTTTTTCAACCCACGAACCTGTTTATTAAACAGCTTATATATGAGTTTGTCAAAAAATATACGGGTTGACCTTCCAATCCATTTAGAATTTTATTTAAAAAAATGATATATTTTTTAAATGTATTAAGTGTTATTTATAGGAATGTAGGATTAATGTTTGTATCTATCTTTGTATTAATGTCTAACTTGTATCTGTCCCTTTTGAAAACTTTCCATTGATTTTTATTCTTGTTATAGCGTCAAAATCCTTATAAAATTTTTAAAGCTGTAATCGATAGTCTAAATGGATCGATTTTTTTTTCAACGATATAAATAAAAATATAGCAAAATTTGAAGATAACAAACACTCATTTCTAATGGGAGTGACTAAATAAACACCCCAAATTACTATAAACACAACCTTTACTAGAAAAACACTCCTAGTAATTAGATAATGATTAGTCTATTTATATCCTTCACAAAGTCTAATTATGTCCCTCAATTTTAATATTATATAAAGTTATTTATTTTATTTTATTTTAATAAATAAAAAACTATATTTATTATTATTATTTATTTTGTTTAATAATATTACTTCAATTTGCAGAAAAAATATACTTATTATTTTTATCATTTATTGTTGTTTAATAATTATTATTATTATTATTATTATTATTATTATTATTTATAGGTATATAATATAAGTTTTGTTATTCTTATTACATAAAAACGTATGCATGTATATTACTTTATTATAATAAAAACAAGATAAATTATATTTTATGGAAAATAAAATATTTTATTATTGATTGTTGAAACAACGTGACAAAATATATACTGCAAAAAAAATTATTAATATTCAAGCAAAAAATGAAAAAGAAAATATAAATAAAAAATAAAGAAAATAAAAATAAAAAGAAAAGGCACGTGAATTAAAAAGAAAAACAAAAAGTTGGGTTAGTGTCTGCAGGGGATAGCCTTTATTTGATTAGGACTATACAAACTTCAAGAAAAAATACAGTGTTCAATGTAAAAGGTACTGTTGACTTTTTTTATTAGGGTGTTTATGGTATTTTTAGGGTTTTTATTTAGTAAGCTACATTTCTAATATATATATTTTTTTTGGAACAGGCAAGAATTTTATTAACCAAACTAGGCAAGATGCCAAACTAGAAAAGAAAACCACCAAACAGAAACAGAGGAGCAGAGAAAAAAAGAAAAAAACACTAAAATATGACAGTTTACAAGATGGTGAATGGGTTACAACACCATTTCACCCAATCTCCATTTCCCATTTTGTCCCTATGTTTACCCATCCAAATACCAATGAGTTCACGTTATCAGCTGTCTTAGCCGGTTTTGAAGGAGTGTTATTAAATACTAAGTCGTTCCTCGCCCGCCAAATACACCAAATAGTACCATAAATAACACTTAGGAAGATTTTCTTTTTCTTTGCTCTGTTCCCCCATTTAGCAGCAAAATCAAGTAACTCAGCCACTGAAGCGAATTTTTGAGGCTCCATGCTACACCACTCAAATATCCACCTGAAAGTTTTCTCTGAGTATGAGCAATTCACCAGAAGGTGGTACGTCTTTTCTACATCCAATTGACATAATGGGCACATTATCGAATTAACATTTATTCCCCTGTGTGAAAGAGCATCTGTTGTAGGAATTCTATCCATTGACACCCTCCATAAAAACACCAATATTTTTAGTGGCACCGTGTGAATCCATTCTATCCGTTTTGGAGACGAAACTGCCAATGCCAAATCCGCCTGATATCTAAGTATATCCACCCTAAAAATTCTATCGTGCGCAAGTGAGAATTTCCAAGAGTCTAATGTGCTTGAGAAGCCAAAGTTGCTTATAATTGTCTGAAGTTGAGACAACTCATTCAATTCAACAGGGGAAGATGGGGTTTTCTTCCATTTCGCCAAAAAACCTTCTTCATTTCTTCTTTCCAAAATTGATGCTGACTTTTTCTTATCAAGCTTGAATAAGTTAGGAAAATGAGAAGCTAAAGGTTACGCTCCAATCCATGTTTCATACCAGAAACTAGTATGTTCGCCATTACCTACATTCACCACAAACATGTTAGCCGGTATAGTATTTAGATCCTCCAGTTCTGCCATTGCTTTAACCATGCCTCTCCATATTCCATGGATCAATTTTTTTAACTAATTTGTTGATAGGTTTCCTGTCCAGATTATGAATTGTTGTGATTATATTCTTCCACACCGTGTTTTTTTCTTCCTTAATTCGCCATATCCATTTAGTTAGTAGTGTAAGGTTGGAAGCCCTCAACGAATCAACACCAAGGCCTCCATTTTCTTTATGGGAAATCACTTTATCCCATGCTACCCAATGGATTTTCCCTTTTTCTTCATCCCCCCTCCCCCCCCCCCCACAGGAACCTTCTTCTTATTTTTTCCAAT